CTTTGACTGTCGGGTAGAAGTCTGCTGCGGAGCTCGCCCCAGTGCGGATCGAGGGCGCATAACGGTCGCAAAGAAGGCGCTCGCGAGCACCCGTCTGAACGCTAAAATGACAACTGGGACACCCTACGGTCTCGTGGACTTAACGGACACGCGCACGCGGCGGCCATTGTAAGTCCGTAAGACCGCAAGTGCACATGAAGTGTTCCATTTGGGACAGGGCGTAAGAATGGCACACACACACACACACTCTCACACCGCTGATGATTGTTAAGCCTGTAGTGTTCTCGTGTTCTACTTTGTTAACTTGTTCCTTGTTTCTGACCCTGGACTGTTTCCTTGTTTTTTGATTGTTTGCTGCCTGCCCTGACTATTGCCTGTGTATTGGATTACCCTTTTGCCTGTGCCTTGGATATTACTGTTTGCTGGTGTTTTGACCCTGCCTGTCTGACCACGCTTTTAATAAAGCCTTGCTTTTGGATCCTCTACTCTGTTGTCAGGCCTCCTACGTTACTTACAATCTCATCTGCACAGGATCTGATTGTGATCTGATTACGATAAATAACAAAACAAAATAAAAATAAAACATAATAAAACAAAGTTTCAGCTACTGACTTCCTACAATGAACAAACTTTCTTGCACATTTATGTACGTTTATCCTGCAAAATGTAAAATAATAAAATTAATACAATATAAAAAAATATATATATATAATAAAATAAAGTATAATGAAGGTTCTGAACCTTTTGCCTGGTATGTCTTTAGCAGTGATCACGTTCACCACACCGGGCAGCTTTAGAGCTTCACTAAAGTCAATATGACTGTGACGGTAAGAAAATGCAACCATTTAGGTATGAAGTTACTCATTTGTTCCATTGCTGGTTTCAATTTAGTGTCAAAGTAATGAGCAACCATGACTTATTAATTAATAAATAAATGAACATTCATTTCCTTATCAGCAAAGGCTATATTCATGATAACAAACTAATTAATAAATATTTATTTACTGATTGCCATATTAGCATTAGTCTACATTTATCACAATAAATAAATAATCATCTCCATATCAGCATGAAATGTTATATTTATGCTATTAAATAAATGAATAAATAAAAATGTTCATTGCCATATCAGCAAAGGCTATGTTCATGACCATATATTTATTTATATATTTCCACATCATCATTGAATGAATGAATGAACGAAGACATATCATTGACATATCAGTTTTAAAGACTATATTCATGACAATTAAAAATATTTATTGCCATTTCACCATTGTAGGCTATATTTACGACAACAAATAAATAAAAATCCAATGTCATATCAGCATCAAAAGCTATTTTCATGGCAATAAATAAACAAATAAAAACTTAAGAACTCCATGTTTGAGATTTAATTTAATTTGATTTAATTTTCATTGTATTAAATTTGTATGATAAATTAAAAGTAAAAAAAATAAATAATTGTAATTAAAAATATTTTTTGAATGGTTTTTAAGTTGTTTATGCAAAGTGTCTTACGTGATCTTGGCGTGTGGCCTGGAGCTTGTCACGATCACGAGGAAAAGTTCACCGTCAGTTTGCGGTAGGTCATCACAGTATACGGCCTCTCCTGTAGCTTGACTCAGAGCTGTCCGGTGCATCATGGGTCGGCCCACCGGATCTTGAGCCGACTGACCCTCCAAGACATTCTGCACACATAAAACACACTACACAATCTTACCTTCGTACACTTGTTCAGCCTCTCTCAAACCCTTTTCCACATCTCCTCGCTCAATCTTTCTCCTAGGTAGGAAGAAAGACTCTTTTTCGATGGCCTCCTGAAAACAAGATCCAAAAGCAGCTCTATAAGAACAGAATATACAGTTAGGTGAGAATAAAAATGAGAGCAGCTAGATTATTTCTTCTCACCTCCACAGTGAAGATGCGATCCTGCAGATCTTCATAGCTGATCTTCACCGCTGCTGCCCCACGTTTAGTGTGTGGTTTGGAATCGGCAACCACAGCGCAAACCATCTGACCAACACAAGTCACCTGAGGATGCAGAAGAGATTGCAAATTGTGCCTTATTTTGAAGAATTTTAATACACAATTAAAATTCCTACTTAAAACAAATACCTTACATAAAAATAACAATAAATAATACACAGACCTCATCTTCAGCCAGCAGTTCTTCATCATATCCTATGAAGGTTCTGAACCTTTTGCCTGGTATGTCTTTAGCAGTGATCACGTCCACCACACCGGGCAGCTTTAGAGCTTCACTGAAGTCAATATGACTGTGACGGTAAGAAAATGCAGCCATTTAGGTATGAAGTTACTCATTTGTTCCATTGCTGGTTTCAATTTAGTGTCAAAGTAATGAGCAACCATTACTTATTAATTAATAAATAAATGAACATTAATTTCCTTATCAGCAAAGGCTATATTCATGATAACAAACTAATTAATAAATATTTTTATTGAAAATACATGAAATGTTATATTTATGCTATTAAATAAATGAATAAATAAAAATGTTCATTGCCATATCAGTAAAGGCTATGTTCATGACCATATATTTATTTATTTATTTCCACATCATCATTGAATGAATGAATGAACGAAGACATATCATTGACATATCAGTTTTAAAGGCTATATTCATGACAATTAAAAATATTTATTGCCATTTCACCATTGTAGGCTATATTTATGACAACAAATAAATAAAAATCCAATCTCATATCAGCATCAAAAGCTATTTTCATGACAATAAATAAATAAAAACTTAAGAACTCCATGTTTGAGATTTAATTTAATTTGATTTAATTTTCATTGTATTAAATTTGTATGATAAATTAAAAGTAAAAAAAATAAATAATTGTAATTAAAAATATTTTTTGAATGGTTTTTAAGTTGTAGAAAAAAAGTCAAAGCACAAAAACAACGCAAACTACTGCAACTGCAATTTTTTTCTCGTATCCCAGAGGAAATGCAACTCAAAAAACAAAAACAAAGCAAAGTATTATGCAAAGCATTAGACATCTTAACGTTTACTCCATTCAAAGAGAAAATGCAACAAAAAAAAAAAACAACGCAAATTATTAGCCAACTTAACTCCCACAAAATTCCCACAAAAAAATTCAACTCAAAAAACAACTCAACGAATTGGACAATTTAACTTTTACTCCATTCCCAGAAAAAGTACTGCAAAAAATTCTAATTTAAAAAACAACTGAAGTATCACACAATTTAAATTTTACTCCACAAAACATAATTTACTAATACTCTAATTTCATAGGAAACAAAACTTAAAAAAAAAAAAATAACATAAATTAATTTCATACCTTCCTACAATCTGTTCGCATGCGCGTTCAGCACTGAGGATGGTGGCTCCCACTCCTCCATAATAAATACTGATCTCCTTCACTACATTTGAGTTCTCGTTGAACCAAACGCGCATCCCAGCATTCACCGTAGCTAGTGCGCTCTCCTTACGCGGGGCATGTCGGAAGGCATGGACAATCTCGTTCTGGGGAAAAATAAAAAAATTTTATTAAATTTATATGATAAATTAAAAGTAAAAAAAAAAAAAAAATTGTAATTAAAAATATTTTTTGAATGGTTTTTAAGTTGTTTATGCAAAGTATCTTACGTGATCTTGGCGTGTGGCCTGGAGCTTGTCACGATCACGAGGAAAAGTTCACTGTCAGTTTGCGGTAGGTCATCACAGTATACGGCCTCTCCTGTAGCTTGACTCAGAGCTGTCCGGTGCATCATGGGTCGGCCCACCGGATCTTGAGCCGACTGACCCTCCAAGACATTCTGCACACATAAAACACACAACCTGCTGTTTACCTTCTATAAGTTCAGTGATTTAGCTTTTTTGCTGGCTTTTAATTGAAAAAAACAGATACAAACAAGAAATAATAGGTAGAGAAAAAAGAAACAGGTTTTGTTGCAAGCAGGATTTGAACACAAATTTCCCATTTGAGCACCATGAGACCATGATTACCATGATTTCAGTGCTTTTATGGACAGCTACCAGTGTTTCCCACATACTTACACTCTATATGTGGCGGCTGTGGCGGCAGGGAAATATATATGTATATAATGTAAACATAAAACAGCAGATGGGCTTATTGAAAGTGCAAATTCATTCTCTGCCAGCAGGAGGCGCTTTAAGAGCTGCAGAAATAGTGGTTTCCCCGGTAACGGCTGTAATCAAAACAACGTTGCGCTCATGAACGCTACTTTATCAGGCATTATAGGAAATATTAAATTAAAATGACATCAAAACTTTTCTGAAGACAATCGGTTCCCTTCAAAAAAGATACATTCATATAAAAACACCCATGCCGCATTTTGACTTTGAACCTTGCAGAGCTCATGTTTATTCAACGAAGTCAAAGCATTTTGGAAAATCTATTTGTGGCAGTCAGTGTTGATATTGTGGCGGGCCGCCACAAATAAGTCAATGTATCGGAAACACTGATGCATCTCTGGAGG